TGGTTCCTTTGAAGTGGGTGGACAACTGGTGGTTATAAAGTGGAAATGCATCTTTAATTGTTACTCAGATCTACCTCTTGGTATTAAGTAACCAAAGTAAGCATGCTAAGTATATAATTGTGATTAACAATTTTGCCTTTTTCAAAATTGTGAATTTCATGGCGTTTGGTTTAAAACACGAACTACCGGGTAAATTCAATTGTTGGAACATTGCAATGTAATATATAAGTGATAAAAAGCAGAAGAAATACACCAACAGTGGAAAAGTGGGCAGGTATGAACCTAAATAATGGAATGCTTCAATGCAGTATTATAAATTTAATTTCATTTGTATGTACAAAGGAAAAAGGATGCATTTCAATATCAACAATTTTTCAGGATTTCATGGTTTTTAGACATTTTGATCAACAAGACCCCTTTAAGTAGAAATTCAATGACATCTAAATTTAATGACAAAAGAAAAAAAAATGTAACATTAATATATCTATAAATAGTTTTTTTTAGTAGCTAAACTTCATGCTCTTTAAAAAATCTAGTAGAGAGGTATGTAAAATTACATGTATTTGTTGATTTGTATACATGTATTAACATAGTAATGGTGATCTTCTCATCTGAAAAGTTTCTTGTTTATATAAATCTACATGTACCGGTACATATCTTTTCATTGTAGATTAAAACTGAACACGACACATAAAAAGGAAACATCATTTTGGTTTTCTCATTTCTTATATTAGCACTCGGTAATATAGACCCTTTAAATTTGTTAAACCTGATTGCTTTTAGCTAGTCATTACAGTATCAGTGCAGCTAATATTGTCCTTTTTGTTTATGTTTCATTTCATAAAATAAACAAGCATTTATGTTTACTTGTGTTGACCTATGCAATAAAAATAGTGAGTATCATTGGTATCTTTTTCCCTGACATCCAATAAGTCAACTAAAATCATTTTAATCTAGCCCTTTCACATTGGCTATGAAGCAGACTTTTGTTCTGATCAATTCTATGAAGCAAAAAATATCAAAATCTAAACAATTGGAGGACAGAAAGAACTACCGTCCTTTTATGAAATGTGGTCAGCCTGAATTTTTCCTAGAATTAAAAAAAAAAACACACACTTATTTTCCAACAAATCATTAATTAGATATTTATAAAACAACTTCTTTCTTAATTTACTACACTTACAACCTCTCATTAACAATATATACAAAATACATGATACTTTAATGCACATATAAATTGGCTTATTTTGTTCACTGAATATGTTCTTTAACAATGCACATACAAACAAACAACTGATAAATCTCAGCAATGACTTTTATACACCAAAAATAAATAATGCATGTACTAGAACTGTACAGACAAAGGTTTTCTGGACAGATAAAAATATTTCATTCATAAGAGAAAATAAACAGCACTCTGAATGTGGAATCATAACCCACTCATATCTCTCCTATAAGTCTATGTAATTATAGATTAAATAATATTGATAAATTGAAACTTTTTTACATGAACTATGCAATAAACTTCTACAATCATTTTTACAGTCATTAATGCTAAATGATTCGATTAACATGATTAAATCAGGAATTATTATGAAAATATCGTCGAAGATACAAATTGTCAAAAACAATTGATAATTTGCAAGTGGATTGTCTATCTCTATCTTTATTGTATTTCAAAATAAGAGTTTATGTATGAAGTAGATATTCGATGGAAAAGAAAAACAGGAGGTTCACAATGACACTAGGTGACAAATATTCTGGGAATCTTATTCACTGTATAGGAGAGGTTGAGTATAAGAGAACTGGGTAGCTCCAATTGTTAGATTGGAAAAACCTACAGATGGTCACCCAAATTGGGCTATAAAAGCAGATTATAAAATATTCTATTTTTTTGATTAAAAATCTAAACAAAATCTAGATTTTTCAAGTATACAAATTTGTTTTTTATAACACACTGTATTGAATAATAGTTTATTTTGGCATGCACAATCAATATTAATGTAACAGAAAACAGAGTCTCTCACATCCATGAAAACACATATCTAGTGTAGCTTGCCAAAAATGTGGGTATAATTCATCAGATTCTTCACCCACACCTGGATTTACATGGTCAGCTGCTTAACAAGTTACTGGCAAGCACAAGTCTTGTGTTGTCTTGGAGATGTCCTTGACACCTGAACACCGAGGCTACGGACAGCTGGCAGTGACTGTCTGCTTTAGAAGCACCACCTGAGATTTAGTCAGAGGAAGAAAATTAAATACATGTACATAATTATACATAAAATTAAGTTAAAAGTTTTGGATTAAAAATCAGACAAAGGTTTATAAATTAGTAAAACAAATTCACTAATAGGCTTGATTCTTTTTAGTTGGTAACATGCTAGATGTGTTGACATTTGCTATAAGTATGCTAAAGAACGTGATGTGTCAAAAATTCCTTTAAAATACGTCAATACAGGGTGTCTTCTATAATGAAGAGGCGAAGCTTGTTTTTAGAAACCTTCCACAGTTTAAACTATCATGGAAATTATATTCATCATATAATAAATTGTACTCACATAAACATTGCACATTTAGAAGTTCCAGCTTCAGCAGAAATCATACTCTGACTTCCTTTTCTGTTTGAGTGCCTTTGAAGAAAATCAAATAAAATGAAAATGAAATGCTTCTTTGCCTTTTTTAGAAATATATATACATTGTTTTCATTTTAATCATGGATATTCTTCCCTTAATATACATATTTTTGCTGCTGTCCATAGATTTACTGAAACATGTAGATTTTAAATTGATTTGTAATTTAATTGCATCACTTGAAAATATTATAATTATTATATTTTAATGTATTATTTGCATGACATATTGTTATATTTATGGAGAGGAACTAGTAAGTTGTAAGAACTTGTTTCCAATCCATTTGACTCGTTCAATAAAATATGTTCAACACAATATTTTGAAAGAAAATTGTGATAAACATGTATGAGTCATAAATACATTTATTGTCCAACCTTTTTAATTGCTGTCCAGTCTTCTATAATTTCTACATCCTTTAACATGTATACTATATAGGGCCCTAAAGAAAACCAAAATGATATCAGTATGATCTTCAGACAATATTTATTCTCAACAAAAATAATACCAGTAAATGGTTACTGATTAATGATAAGAGTTCATCTTGCAAAACATTTACATTTCAAAAAACTGAGTTTGTATTTAATTTATTACAATAATCTCACTAGTAAATTGCCAAAATTAATGTATAGTAGATAAAAATACATGGAGTTAAGATTATAAACCAGTAGTACTAAAAATAGAACTTAATACTGCTGGGGAAATGTTACATATCATTTGATTAACCAGAAGTCTCTGTCGAGACTGTAGCTCTACTGGTTTGTACTTATCAAAAGCCATTGCACTATTTTATGTATCTTTGTGTAGTCTACTTGTGTGCCAACTTATTTTGAAATCAAACTAAAACTGTAGAAGGAGTAGCGTTTTAAAGGAATTTCACAGAAATTTCTATTTCTAGTAACCGTGGTAACACCGTTCATCGAAATCAAAAACCGATGCACTATTCTATGTATCATAGTGTAGTCTACTTGTGTGCCAAGTTATATTGAAATCAGACCAAAACTGTAGAAGGAGTAGTGTTTTAAAGGAATTTCACAGAAAATTCTATTTTTAATAACCATGGCAACACCGTTCACCGAAATCAAAAACTCATGCACTATTCTATGTATCTTAGAGTAGTCTATTTGTGTGCCAAGTTACATTGAAATCAGAATAAAAACTGTAGAAGGAGTAGTGTTTTAAAGGTATTCACAGAGAATTCTATTTTTAGTAACCATGGCAACACCGTTCACCGAAATCAAAAACTGATGCACTATTCTATGTATCTTAGTGTAGTCCATTTTTGTGCCAAGTTACATTGAAATCAGAATAAAAACTGTAGAAGGAGTAGTGTTTTAAAGGTATTTCATAAAGAATTCTATTTTTAGTAACCATGGCAACACCGTTCAGAGAAATCAAAAACTCATGCACTATTCTATGTATCTTAGAGTAGTCTATTTGTGTGCCAAGTTACATTGAAATCAGAATAAAAACTGTAGAAGGAGTAGTGTTTTAAAGGTATTCACAGAGAATTCTATTTTTAGTAACCATGGCAACACCGTTCACCGAAATCAAAAACTGATGCACTATTCTATGTATCTTAGTGTAGTCTACTTGTGTGCCAAATTATATTGAAATCAGACCAAAACTGTAGAAGGAGTAGCATTTTTAAGGAATTTCACAGAAAATTCTATTTTCAGTAACCATGGCAACACCGTTCATCGAAATCAAAAACCGATGCACTATTCTATGTATCTTAGTGTAGACTACTTGTGTGCCTAGTTATACTGAAATCAGACCAGAACTGTAGAAGGAGTAGCGTTTTTAAGGAATTTCACAGAAAATTCTATTTTTAGTAACCATGGCAACACCATTCATCGAAATCAAAAACCGATGCACTATTCTATGTATCATAGTGTAGTCTACCTGTGTGCCAAGTTATATTGAAATCAGACCAAAACTGTAGAAAGAGTAGCATTTTTAAGGAATTTCACAGAAAATTCTATTTTTAGTAACCATGGCAACACCGTTCATTGAAATCAAAAACCGATGCACCATTTTATGTATCTTAGTGTAGTCTACTTGTGTGCCAAGTTATATTGAAATCAGACCCAAACTGTAGAAGGAGTAGCGTTTTTAAGGAATTTCACAGAAAATTCTATTTTTAGTAACCATGGCAACAGCGTTCATCGAAATCAAAAACCAATGCACTATTCTATGTATCTTAGTGTAGTCTACTTGTGTGCCAAGTAATATTGAAATCAGACTAAAATTGTAGGAGGAGTAGCGTTTTGAAAAATTGTTTACAGACAGACGGACAGACAGACAGACAGACAGACAGACAGACAGACAGACAGACAGATAGACAGACGGACGGACGGACGCCGGACGTATTACTATCGCATAAGCTCTTCTGGTCTCTGACCAGTAGAGCTAAAAAAAGAATCTATGATATCTTATACCTGACACAGAAACAGGTTTTTTCCTTCGTTCTGAAGAAGTACCGTCTATTTTCTTTTTACTCTTACTCATTGTTTGTGTTTCATCCCAGAGATCTAGGAAACAAAAATAAAATAACAAAAATGTCAAAGGATTTTGAACCAAAAAAGTAAAGCTTTATGTACAATATATTACAATTTGACTACAATGTATTACAAAATACAAAGTGAACAAAGTTGACGTGTACAAAAATTTTTTACTTTGAAAAATGTTGACTAAAGTCTTAATCATAACCAAGTTGTGCTAATCGCTAAGGAAATAAATACTAAATTTCACTGATTAAACACATACCTGAAGATATATCTATATTATGTCTATCTTCTTCTAGTCGGCGAATTCTATCCTCAAGTTCACCTTTGACACTATCATATAAAAGTTCCTTTTCACTCTACAGTGGAAAGAAACCATATGAAATGTTGATTCAAAGAAAGAACAATTAATGATACAAGCAGATTTACCATAAAATTAAAGTACAGAACATAATATTTATTTTTCTGATAAAGTTAATATAAGATTATTTGCAAAAAAATTATTCATGAATAATGCAACAAGTAAATGTTGGAATAGAATTTATATTTTACCTCTAAATTTTGCTGTGCAGCTAAAACCTCACTTTCAAATTTATTTTGAATACTGTCTATCCTGAATTCCCTTAAGATTCCTGTGAGAAAAAAAATTAATATAATGTTCACCTTCATTTTACTATCTGGAAAAAAAATGACAGAACACAAATTCAACACATACAAACTTTATATTATTGTTATAACTTCTTTAGTCTATCATCATTTTTCAAACATGGTAACATTTGAGGAAATGATTCTTGAATCATATGTTCTGTACAAATTTAATTGTACATGTACCACTAAAGTCAGGCTATCTATTTATATTCAGCCACATGCTAAGTTTCAATGCTTTGCCTATAAATTGAAAACAGATTATTTATAATACAATTATTTTTTAAACTAAATTTGTGCAGTAGAATGTAAATTGTCCAGAACTTTGACCTGCTACTTCTGTTCTAATCCTCATGTTTTCCTGTAGTTGTGCCAGAGGACTGAGGTATTCCAGGGCCCTGCCTGCTTTAACTTCCTCCAGTTTATGTTCAATTTGACCCATTCTCTCCTTGTAAAGCCTGTAATAAGTAGATGTCTTAATAAAGCTCATGGCGTCATGCCCAAAGCAGCTATCATTAAAGATATCTTATACATGTGAGAAACTTTGTTAGTAACAACTTACCTCTTTCCATATTTAAGGACATGCTAAAAATTGGTATATGTTTTAAAGAAAAGAGGATTAATTTTTTTTTTCATATACCAGCCTCGATTACATCATACATGTACATCTATGACATCACTGAATCAAGAAATGATTGTTTAATTTTAAGAAATAAGTAATTTTTTATAATCTGTTCTGCTGTTTTAGTCCAGAGACAACAGAAAACGCTTAAGAAGAATACAATGTTTACAATGGCAATGGTTCAAAATATATTCTAGAAAACTTACACTTCTTTTAAATCTGAGAACTGTTTTTCTAGGTCTGCCATATCATCTAGGCATTCTGTTTTTCTTCTTTCACATTCTTCTTCATCAAGTTCTGTAATATTTATTTAAAAATGCAATGAAGAATTAACGTTTAAATTGTAGGAATGCTTGTTCATGCACATGATGTATACTGCTAACAGTTTAAAATAGGATAAGGCCTAGATATATAAATAAAGTTTCTCAAATAACTCTAAATCGTATGAGCCAATCTTGAAATTTTTTTCTGTTATATTGAATACTTTTTGTATGTTAAAAATTCTAATTTCACAATTAAAAAACATAATCTTTGTCTCTTCTGTCTTCCAAGAAAAAAATCCTTTCAAGTCAGTGAAGTCCTCAGGAAAAATGGCACCAAAAGTTGCCATTTTGAGGAAAAGAAGTGAATATTGCTTCTCTTAAGAATATTTTTATAGACAAATGATAGACAAATTTCACATTCCTAAGAGTTATCTCCCGTATCGGCGTAACGCTTATTTTCCCCACTTTGTCCTTTGTAAGCTACCTGTTAATATTTTAAATTTTCAAACGAAATCGGGCAATTTCGATCTGTACCTGTATTGCCAGGGTATAAGGCAACATGAAAAACATAAAACATTATGAACATATACAGATTTTATTTCAAAGATACTGATCCATAAAGTTGGTAAGGTTATAGAGGGAAAACAGTGCCTTACAACGGTTGCCCCCAGATTGATTCCACAAAGGGGAATAACTTTTGTAAATGTGAAAGTCGTCTACTGCCACAGTAAAATAAACAGTGGGGGTTTAAAATAATGATTTCCTACTTTTTTTAATCGAATAGGAAACCCACTATTCATATTTATCAAGAAAGTTTGTCTATTTTCATTCATTATTTTTATTTTTTACTATCACAGAACATATTAACAGTACTGATATTCCAGAATGGTGCAAACTGGAATCGGGTTCGAATTATGGATGTTTCGGGACCGCGATGTTTCGGGACCTGACAATACGTTTCGGGACTTGGGTTAACACGTTTCGGGACTTGGGCTAACACGTTTCGGGACTTCTATATATTTTGTTAAGGAAATGAAATAAAACTTGTTTACTTGTATTTTTATGTTTATACATGTATAATTTCTTGGTTTTATACACAATTTATAATTTAAGAAGCACAGATTGGAGTTTTTATTAGTTTTAAAGTTTGCATGCGGCATGGAGCATGCCTGCCAAGAAAATCAAACGCCGCGATCTTGTCTCTTTCATTTCTTATTACAGCATTTTATATACTTGATATATTACGTTTATAAAGTATTTGGTTAACCAAAATTTAATTCAAAAAATATATTTTAGAATTATGTATTGATTTATTTATAGTGTTTGATACGAGACAGAGTTTGTAGAATTAAAGCCGGGACACAATCGCAACTGCTGTGTGAAGATCACGGACGTGTTTTTCTTTCTAAGTCTTTCTTTCTCTCCATTTTAATAATAATTTTAGGTGTTTGATTTCATAATATTTGTTTACAGAATTTACAAAGGCTCAAGCTAGCACATGTGCAGTAAAAACTTTATGTTTTACGGGTAGTAGTCTTTGAATTCATGTTTACTGTGTATACACAGACTACAAATCTCAATGAAACTAAATTATCGATCTTCGTATATACCCGAACAGTGCGTAATATTATGTGGTGTTACATAATTAGGTACATCACACACTGTAAATGATACTGTAAATAAATACTAAATGTTATTTAATTTGCAAATATTAAATTTTTCATGTTACATGTACGTTGTAAAAGTGTTTTAAAGATATTCCAGATTTAAAAAAAAATGACTACGTTAACAGGTCAACTTAAATTTTATTTTTTATGAAATTTCCACCTAGCCACATTAAATAGATAAAGCTATGAAATTTAAAATATTTTTAAAGACATTATTTGAAACGATACCAAATGAAATCATGTTGTTTATACCATTTAATGTTCTTTTTAAAAGTATCACGGTATTTTTGAAAAATCTACATTTAGGGAAAATGTTCTTGCAAAATTTGTAAAATATGTTTATTTACAATGTTTTGGAAACTTTAAAAATGTTTTCGTAACATTTCCAGGGATTCCAATACTATGCTAAAACTTTCTGAAAAAATATTTGAAACCGTTTGGGAAAAAAATAGACAAAATCACGATCAAAACATTTTGAAAACCTTTATATTTTGTTGAACTTTTGAGATGGGAAAATTATTACTGTTTTATAAATATTGTTTGATCTGGAATTATTTCATTTACCAATAAACAAACGATATTTTTTTTGCATAGTTTTAGATTTTTAATTTCTTAAAAAAATTTCATAAGAAACCACATAATCTTTTCAGTTCCCATTACCGGCGGCGTCTTTATACATGTACGTAACACTTCCCTATGGGATATGTGTACCTGGTCCTAGTTGTTGTTTTAACAATTAATACTGACATATTTTTAAAGATATATTCGAAGGTAGCTGGAGATCACTTGAATATTTTTAAAATATATATCATCAACCTGAGAAGCTTAAAGTTTGCCCTCCCCCCTTACCACACACTCAAGAAAAAATAACTAATAAAAAAAATTTGATAAGATTTTTAGAAATAAAAATGAATTTTGTAAAGATTTATTCTTATTCGTCTGTTATAGAAAAAACACATCAAAGTGTATCTTTATGACAATTTTTATTATATAAATGTTAAAATTCGGATTTAGCTTGAAATATTAAAATATTACGCATATGTGTACTTAGAATAATATGCTATATCACCATAATAAAATAATTTGTTGAGATCCCGAAAAAAAATTAACCCAAGTCCCGAATCGTCTTTACCCAAGTCCCGAACCGTCTTGTCGCTAGTCCCGAAACGTCGTATTAGTCAGGTCCCGAAACGTCGTGGTACCGAAACATCTTGCACCCAAAAAAAATAACCCAAGTCCCGAATCGTCTTTACCCAAGTCCCGAACCGTCTTGTCGCTAGTCCCGAAACGTCGTATTAGTCAGGTCCCGAAACGTCGTGGTCCCGAAACATCGTGCACCCTCGGGTTCGACATCACAGTTATGCTGAGAAAATTCGAAATAAGAGCTATCATTTCTACTAATCGCACTTTAAAAATAATAAAATGCGTAAATTTCTTCTCCTGAATAACTATAACAATCTACAGACATGCTATATCAATTAATTCAATGATTCATGGAATGTCTAGAAGGGATTCCCCGTCTTCCTCTACAAATTTTACCTGAACCATCTTCTTCCTCTGAACCCATTTCTGAGTCATCATCAGAACTGTTGTTGCTTCCCGGGGTTTCTTGCTCCATTTCTTCTTCCTCTGTTTCCGTTTTTCCGTTCTCCAAGACAGGCATTTTCATCATATCGTATCAAAATATTCACCTCATTTCCCAAACATTCAAAGTGCGCGTAGCGGAAGTTTGTGTCGGAATTAATGGCAATGCGCATGTGTATTGGAAAACCACACTGTTTCTATTTTTACATCATAGATACAACATAGGCGGATCAGAATACTTTCAACATAAATAAAATGTATTTTCTTCACTCCCATAAAGAACCAGGCAAAATTTATCACAATGATGGGACCGGTACAAACAGGCATGGGACAATGAGTTTTTTCATCGCAGAAAACCATGGGACAAAAACATTTTTTTCAGAGATACACTACTTAAGGCTGTTCAAAGTTAATTCTACGTTTAACATCACATCCAAAGTTCGAAACCTGCGAGGGAGGGAGGAAAAAAAATAAACAAACAATTTTTTTTAAACAATTGTGAATTTATTCAAATTAACCTATTCAGTACATTAAAAAAACATTATAATTGAGTAATAAGAGTATTGGATATCATGACAGCTAAGTCTAATTTCTCAATTCTCATGTAAATGGTTTGAGTCCTTTTTGTAAGCAAACAATATAGAATAAATTTGCAGGAGAGTGGCTTTTAACTAGGCCTCGTTGTTATTCTGGTTCGTCCGTCTGTCACACCATGTTGTTTTTAAATTAATTATCAAAATTAATTTTAAGTATTATAGCCATTGAAGTAATCTTTTTAGAATATATTGTTATATTCAGCCTGCGTAGGAGGATATTGGGTTGAGAAACCGACATGAATGGGAAGGGGGGGATTGAAAGGCAGTAGCCTAATTTTATAACAAAAAATTAAAAAAAAATATACCCCTTTGCCGGGGGGGGGGGGGGGGGTGTTGTTGTTGTTGTTATGTTACTCCTACTTCTAATCTCAGCGAGATGTCGTATAGGGACTAAAATTTTGTCTGGTGTCCCTACGACCATGTGCAGACAAAATTTTTAGTCCCTACAACATCTCGCTGAGATTCCCCTTAATTTTCGAAAATATGGTTTTGGTGGTGCTTTTTAAATTTGTAAGAAGAGTTCAGTGACCCATTTTTTGTTGTTGTAGAAAAACATTTTATATCCACATTTAATCTTAATGGACATCTATCTAATCTACACTACTATTCATTTTCCCAAAGATGACGTGATTACTTCCTTTTTTTAAAATGTAAGAAAAGTTCATAACACTTTTTTTTTTTTTTTTTTTTACAGAACACCAGTTTTTATTTTATCAGGAAACTGTCATTTTTCCAACCCCCATTTAGCCCCCCCCCCGGTGAAAATGAAAATTCCGAAACCTTAATGCATGTATACAGGACTCTAGCAATCATTTTTCAAAAGATAATTTGGCTATTGCTTAAAATTTAAGACGTGTTCCCCGGTCTTGGAACTAAGTTTTTTTTTTGTAGAAAAAGAGAATAAGTGCACATTTACATGTATTTAAGTTGTATGCCTTATATAACTGAATGAAATTTAGAGATTTTCATAGAGTATTTGTTACATGGTGCTTTTGAGCACTTCGTATTAATAAATTATTTTTGACCCGACACATATTTTTGGGGTCCCATAGCAAAACATGGACACTTCCATTCTTTCTGTAATATTGAAGGGTACCCTTCTCTTATCCGCAACTCCTCCTATACCACTGAAAAAAAATTAAGCGATACTTTTTCACAGATTCTTTATTACATAATGCCATTATGACCTCCCATTTTATCAGTTTTGATTTGACACTTATTACGGGTCTCCCAGAGCAAAACATGGACTTCGCCATTAAAATCATTTGGGAGTAGGGGTATCATTAGTGAGCTCATTGCTCACAGTACCTCGAGTTAACATCGATCATTCTCTCATTGCTTTATTTAGGCTAGGATTTTAGCAAATTTAAACAAATAAATTTACACATGGTTTGTGCCTTATGAGTTTGTATCTTTCAGTCATTAAATCATATGATAAGACAATTGCTGTAGTCAATACGATGATTTAGTCACCTTCATAGTACAAGATCTCCTCTTTCAGGATCGTTGAATATTGTATTTCTCAGATGGCTAGATCGCCGTCACATAACGACTTACGTATTGACCTAAAACAGCAATTATTATATAAATATTGCATGTAGTTGAGTGTAACATTGTACAATAGCTAATAAGACCCAAAGAAAATAAAAATTTTTTCCATTATTTGAGGATTATTGAAAATATACTCTGATAATTTGGTTTAGATTATTGGAGAGACTAACCGTGGGTCGATTTTGCGCGGGAAAACACCGCTGCCAAGCTGTCACACCTCTGATCAATGAATCTGAACACATGGTATAATAATATTGTGTCTTTGTTTATTGAATAAGTCGATTTACAAAACTTTTCTAAGGAAACCTAGCTGACGATGTTCGCCACGTCAATGATACGGACACGTTGCAACAATGACGAAGAAATTTTTTTTACGTAGCCTTCATACTTAATAACAAACCTAGTATTTCATTACAATTGTCCAGCAATGCCTACCAGAACTGGTACTGAGATAATTCTATGTATCCTCACAACTCAGATTATTGTCTGCTTAATTCATGGAATCAAAGGGTAAGAATTTAGAGACTTATATCGTATTAAACTAGATACGTGTATATATATTTAAATATCTATACTGTATTCTCATTCATTATGTGGCAAGCAAGTTTTGACCATTAAAAAATAACATGGAAATTCTGTATATACATATTCTTAGTAATAAAGGAATGCCTTTACTAAGCTTGAATTTATATCAATATGAAATAAATAATGGTACGCATTTTTATGTACAACAATTCATTTTCGATGAAATTTTGAATATAACACATAAAAGAATTATGTAATCTTTATTTTCACTTGTAATCATTCTTTAAATTTAAAACATAAAATAATTCTTTCGTCTATATACTTTTAATTTTGCCGATTTTGATCAATGAATTTAGAATATTTTAATTCATTTTTAGCAGTTTATCCTATTTTGCGTTTAGAAGAATTTTGATGTACATATTTTGTGCCATATTTTACAGAAATGCAATAGAAGCAGAAAAGTGTGACATCAGTAAATGGTATACCAAAATGTCTTCTGAAGGATTGTTTGATAGCTCAATGAATACCCAGCAGCAAAAATTACACAACACAATTCAGAAACTAGTTGTCCACGGTAAAAATAAACGTAACGTAAAACTTGTCGACTGTAAAATCTTAGAAATGTACGAAAATGAAATGAAGAAAGGGAAAGTCAAAGCTACCAATTCAAAATCTACAACAGAAACTTTAAAGGCAGCTGACAATTTAACAATTATAAAAAGCACAGAAAATACTCTATCACATAAGAATGACATAACCAAGATAGAGAATCCACGAAATGAGAACATTGCAGAACTCGAATCTCAGGAGGAAGCAGCCGAAAGAATATTCAGGGAAAGAGACAGAGAAAGCGAAGTGTTTGCAGACGATAGTGAGATTGATGAAACAGAACTAGATGAAATAATAGATGAAAGTAACAGTGATGGGGAATTTGATGACTCAGAAAAGCACAACGATAACCAAGCACATAAGTCCTGGTTAGATGACAAGAATCAAAATTCATTGGTGCAGAAAGAAATTCTCAGTCAAGAGCAAAACACGCATGACTTTGAAACAATCGAGACAGAATCAAATGGAACAAGTAACTCAAAAGAAATTTTACAAGAAAGAAATGCTAAAGACATATTTAAGTATATGGAAACCGGAGGAAAGACATGTCGAAGGTATACATGGAAATTACAAAAATACATGATTTTGAAAATATCCCCAAAAGAAAAAGTGGATTCAACAACCAAGGAAATTTTTGGATACAATTGTAAAATATCATATGCACTCTCGCCCTCGTACTGCTTACTACAAGTAAAAAACACAGCAATGTTTAATATGACACAACATATGTCAGACAAGCTGGAGAAAGGTACAGCTTCCTTAACAGATAATTTGCTTACTCCAAATAATCTAGGCAGTATAAATAAAAACACCAATAAAATCTTTGAAGCAGGAAAGGAGATGGAAAATTTAGTCGATCCCAATGAATTTTCTGAAGAGCAGGAAGGAATGCTAATAGATGGAAAATTTAACGAGGAAATTGACGACATTTCTTACACTGCTTATTCTGAAGATATGCTCATGTCTTATAACAATAAAGATTTACCAAATGATGCTGTACAAAGATCTTCGAATGAAGAAAACAACAATGAATATAAATCGCAGCAAACGTTTGACAGAAAGGTTTTGGAAGACATGTTGTCTTTGAAAACGGAAGAGTATACAAAGAAAATAAATGTTCTGGAATTAAATATAATAAAGCTTGAAAATCAGATGTTAATGGAAAAACTGAACAAAGAAAATCATTCCAGTACCATAGCGAGACTAGAGAATAGCATTCTTAGGTTAGAGAACGAGCTGTTAAGAATGAAACAAAGCTTCCATCATATGAAAATTGAAAATGACGAAATGAAGAGAACTCAACGAAAATACTTAGAACTAGGACACAGTTCTGAAAGTTACTCTTTACAAAAGCTTAATCACGACCAACTTCTGTCAGAACAACAGCAAACAATTATGAAACTGTCAGAGAAGTTACAAAACCAATCAAACTTGATAGATAATTTAAAGAATCGGTCCGAGGGTCTTGATGACCAAAACAGAATATTGTATGCAATGGTCATGAACCAAACTGTATTGATGTCACAAATTATGGCAAAAGTACAATCTCTTACTGAACAAACTCTACAACAACGTGAAACAGCAGAGAAAATGAAGCAAAAGTTAGAAAGTGGTTTAGAAGACGTCAGAGAATTAAAAAATAGCCAGGCAAATCAGGGACTGGTTGATCCAGCCACAAACTCAAAGGAATCATATCTTGATGATCTCTCAAACCAACTGCTACAGCAACTAGACGATCTAGTGTCAGATAAAAAACTAGAAAGTGGTGAAATAATTGAACAATCGTCTTTTGTTGGACAACTAAAAGACCAAGACGATGAAATCGATGAACAGTTAAAGGAGTATTTACATTACACCTCAATCACATCATCTGTCAAACTTCAGGAATGGTGTGACTCTAGTGCACA